ATATGAAGTACGTTAGTATCCAGAGCCCCTGAAAATTATTTCTTATGTTGTTAATTCCAAGTTCCAAGTTTCAGGGGTTATAAAGAAACTGGAATTTGTGTGAATAGCATTATTCAGGTCTAACTAAAAGCACTTATAACAAAGTTCTCTATTACTTAAGTCATATTTTTGCCTTTCTAAGAAAAGATAAAGGGATGGCTATTTCACAGTCAATGAAACATTCAAACACAATCACTAATTCTCAAAGTGCTTCTGATGTAAGGGAAAGGATAAGGTGACTTTTCCATTTCTAGAAAACTGATCAAAGGCTATTAAAAACAAGCAAACAAACAAACAAAAACTATTTCCAAGTATCATGCTCTTTACTTCGGCAACTCAGTGAACTTTTGTTTAATAAGTAAAATCTATCAAGGAATTTGTATATGTGTGTACTACTTACTTTAGACCAAAAACTAATAAAAAAATAAATTTTAAACTTAAAAAAATGGAAGCAAAAAAAATGCCTCAAAGTAATTTCCTTTGATGGAGACCTGGCCAATCTGAGTGGAATCAACCTTGACAGTAGCTCCTCTATTTCTTAAATATTGGAAACTTCATCTATAAGTGTTTACCCTTTATTGGTAAAAGCTTCGAATACAAATACAGACCGAAGAATCTGAGAAAGACTTTGAGAGTAAGCGCTCTGAAAAAAAAAAAAAAAAAAGGTTCTAAAAACATATAATCTCATAGTTGGGAAGATCTGTAGAAGTCAATTCTCACCTCCTCCACTCCAGCGCATTTTCCCTGCACGACTTGTGGAGTCTCAATCTGATCAGCCTGGACTTGTACACCGCCAGTGTTGGAGAACTCCCTGCCCAATGAAGCAGCCCAGTTTCCAAGCAGGTGTAATTGTTGCCAACTTATTCACTGTAGCGCTCGTTACACTAATCAGAAATCTCTCTGTAACTTCTCCCACTGCTTCTAGTCAGGTCTTTCCGTAGCTCTAACTCTCTAGGTCCTCTTCCACTTGAAAGCGATCCCAACTACAGAAACTTAGAATAATAAAGCTCCAAAACTTCTAGTGTAACCTCACTTACTACATACACTTTAATTTTGTTTTCTCTAAATCTATCTCTACTGGTATTGGGCTAGAGGCTGAACTGGTTGAAATGAGGGTATAGGGCAGAGAGTCACAAGGATTTAGCAGAGTCCAGTGAACTTGGAGGATTTAAGGAATTGCAAAAAGGCAATTGGTTAGAGTAAAGGGAGCAAGGCAGGGAATGGAAGGAGATACAGTCAGCTGGCAGGACACACAGGACCTGATAGAACATGGTGAGATTTGGGGTTTTATCCTGAGTGTGATGGGTAATTACCCGAGGGTTCTTAACAGGGAAAAGATGGGGACTGTTTAACATTTTTTAAAACCACTTATAGGGTGTCTGGCTGGCTCAGTTGGTTAAGCGCCCAACTTCAGGTCACGGCAGGATCTGACAGTTTGTGGGTTTGAGCCCAATGTCAGGCTCTATGCTGATGGCTCACAGCCTGGAGCCTGCTTCTGATTCTGCGTCTCCCTGTCTCTCTGCCCCTCCCCTGCTTGTGCTCTGTCTCTGTCTCAAAAATAAACATTGAAAAGAAAGCCCCACCTTTGCTCCAAATGGAGAACTGACCAGAGAGGTACAAGGAGGTGATAAGGAAGACTAGTTAGAAAACTGTTGCTATCACCCAGGTAACCTGGGATGATGACACGTTGTATTATATTAGGGTAGCAGTAGGGCGATGGTGGCAATGCAGGGGTATTTGGGATATATGTAGAAGAAAGGACATATAAGCCTTATGGATGGGCTGGGAGTGGGTTAAGAAGAAGAGAGAAAACTCAAGATGGCTTCTAGTTTTTGGCCTGAGCAACTGTGTGGACCATTTACTGAGATAAAGAAGGAGGCAGAAACAGGTTTGGAGAGGAGAATTCAAGAGTTCTACTTCAGACATGTTAGGTTGGAAATGTTTATTAGACTTTCAAATAGATGTTAAATAGGCAGGCACAGAAATGAGCCTAGAGCTCACAGCAGAGATCAAGGTAAAAAAGAATAAAGCTGGGAGAACAGAAAGCATTTAAAACAAGGGGTCACATGAGACTGCACAGAGAAGAAATGTAGAAGGCAGCCGAAGACTAAGCCCTGAAGAATGCCAACTTTTGGAGACCATAAAGAAGATAACAAAGGAGACTTTGCAATTTTGTGTGTTTTTTATGCTTTCAAGTGTAAGAGAGACTGGAGATTTAGAATTACAGAAAGACATAGCTAAAACTGATGGGGAGAAGTTATAGAGAGATTTCTGCACAGTGTAATGAGCACAATGATGAATACGTTGTTAAGTGACTCTTCCTCTTCCTCGAAAAGCAGTTGGAATTACAGTTAACCCTTGAATAACATGGGTTTGAACTGTGTGGGTCCACTTACATATGGATTTTTTTCGATATGGCATCATACTATAAATGTATTTTCCTTACAATTTTCTTAATAACATTCTCTTTTCTATGGCTTACTTTATTGTAAGAATATAGTATATCACATATGTAACACACAAAATATGTGTATGTGTTAATCAACTCCTTAATGGCTGGCAAGTCTTCCTGTCAACAAGAGGCTATTAGTTAAGTTTTGGGGGAGTCAAAAGTTGTGTGTGGATTTTTGATTTGGGGGTGGGAAAGGACCCCTAAAGCCCGCATGGTTCAAGGGTTAACTGTATTTTATGTCCACAGAGTCCATAGCTAGCCATCATTATCTTCAAAAACCACCTTTCAAAGTCACGTGCCTACTCTATTTCTGAGTCCCAACCTATTAACTGAATCTGGATAGCAGCATTTCAACATGTCAGCTGCTCAATTACCCCATCTCTGGCCTCTGGCATGTGTCCTAGCTTCTGGATCCAAATTTTCACCCAACTAACAACTTCTAGTTGCCCAGCACTGACTAGGAGGCACGTTGAGATCATGTTCCCCAGAGCTGCCAGAAGTTCTTGGCTTATGATCAATGAAGCACACAATGAGTGAGTGTTCAGCAGTTAATCAGGTGACAGAGAACAACTGACATGTCAGAGAACTGTAGAATGAGCCAGATCAAGGCTGGAACAGGGAATGGGAGACTGTGCTCCAAGCTAGTCACCCCATGGGAATCTGCCCTAGGTCACCCAATGTGAAGTACTCTGAAGTTTACCATGTATCCAGGGACTGGAAGCTGATAACATTATGAACCAAACAGGAGGTACTTCACACCATTGATACCTGTTCTTTCTGCACCAAACCCTCAGGGTCATCCTGGGGACACTGTTACTTCCCCCCACATCTAGAAAGGGAATTCCAAACTATTTTTGTGTTTGGGAAGATTAAATGGAAATAAAGTGCATTGTACATAGAAGTGCTCAATACATAATAGCTACTCTCATTTATACTTTAGATGACCACAAAACAACAGTGAGGCAGCTGAATGGTAAAGTAGGTCTCTAAAAATAATAGTTTTAATGCTCTTCTTTAGCACAGAAGAATAATAAAAGGTTTTTTTGTTCGCTTTTTATGCATGAACTATCATATGACCAATGGAATTTAAACTTGTCCTGAAAAAGCTCTTTCCAGCCAAGATTTAGCAAAATTATGTTACACAAAAAACAAGTAAAGATGTCATTCTATTAACACAAGATTGATAACACCAATTCTAAATAAACACCATCAAGCAAAACAGAAATCTCCAAGCCTAATAATTATTCTTCAATAGTCACTCAGGCCTGGGCTTGTTGTTTTAAATGTCTACAATCTTTAAAGATAATATATTTCTATTTCCCTTTATTAAATTTAAGTGTAACTAAAATCATTAAAGTTGGCAACAGAAGCAGGAAACCATTTATAAGACCAGCATGGCTATTTTACTTTTATTAATGAAAAGTTATGTAATAGTTTCAGCAAACTACAGAATTCCATTCTTGTAGTCTTTTAATATTTATAGAAATTTAAAAGAGTTATACTGTTAGAGTTCATTTTTGAAACTGAGAATTTCTATTATCTGACAGCAATCAATTACTTTAGCTCAATTACAGAAATGGCTATTTAAGAGTTCTGTTCTTTATTCATACTCCTTAACAATAGGTCAACTGTGTCTAGTACTTGACCCAGAAGCTCACATAGGTGCAACTGAACAAGACAACACTTGTGAGGGTCTCAACTCCAAACGGAGTCCCATCACTGGTCTTTTTGCCTCCAACAGTACATTAAAGAAAAGAGAAGAAAAAACCAGTGCACTGGGAACCATTTACAGGCCCTGCTTATGTTAATACACAGTGCTATACTAAAGTACCAAAGACCACAGAAGCACCTTAAAAGAATCAAAGAGCAAGTGTGTAATCAGGTATAAGGAGGTCACAAACACCATGCCAATATCCAAGAACTGAAATCCCACATCTCCTATGAACTGAAAAGTGAAACCTGTGGTCACATATTTCCTTGCATCTCTATTCATAGAATCTGGATTTTTTAAAAGGTAACTAATAATTTTCATTTCTCAAACTATTACAGAGAAAAGTTACTTCTAAACTCTAATTTTCAAATAAATAAACCTTGACTTTTTTCTGCTTTAAATGAATTTTTACTTCGGAATCATTTTAGATTTGCAGGAAAGTTACAAAGATACAACAGAGTTCCTGTATTCCTCTGACTCAATTTCCCCTAAAGTTGACATCTTACATAACCACAGTTTTGTCAAGACTAAGGAATTAATGTTGATATATTGCTATTAATTAAGCTACAGGCTTTATTTGGATTTCACTTGTTTTTTCATTAATACCTTTTTTCAGTTCTAAGATCTAATCCAGGTACCACATCGCATTTACTGATTTTTTTTTTAATACTTTAAGGTTTTTTATAGTACTTTTAGGTGCTCCACAGAGAAAAAAGGTAAGTCACCTTTTCAGGAAACTATGAGATCAAATTATTTAAAGTTTCAGAAATATCTCTTCAAAAGATGCTTGTCACTTACCTATCTCCCAAGGCTCCAGTAAAGAGTCATAAAACATACAGTAAATCCTTTTAATTAATCCTGTAATAGAATATAAAGTATTATTATAATCATATTCAAATAATCCATTTTTATCAAATATATGTAGAAACTGCCTTCCTTTCATTCTCAAATTTTATTTTTAATTACTGTATACTTTTATTAAGATAACAAAAGAACTAATTTAAGGGAGAATATAATTCACTAAATTTATTACACATCTTTAGTTTAAAAATGAAAGCATGCAAAATTTAATAAAAGTTTTAAGGCAAATAGAAAATGTTCTAAAAAAAAGAAGAAAGAAATGCCAAATGAATAAAATTGACTAGGAAGAATGCTTCACATTCTTTTCCATATACATAATGCCATAGAAGTTACTAAATAGTCACAAACAAGTGAGTCATATTGAGGGCACAGCCTTTTGATGGGAAAATGGTAATCCAGAGGTTAGAGTTAGGAGATTTCTGAAAAAATGCATGTCTGGTAAAGTATCCATGTGTGTCAGTTTGCCTGAGATGGTCCCAATTTATGCCTGTTGTTCACAGTGTCCCACTCAATGTATTATTTATCTTAGATTTTCTTAGTGCTTTTTTTATTTTTTAATGGTAGCAGTATAATAAGCCCAGGTTTTCACTTTTAGGTTCTGCCATTATCTTGTCAAGCAGTATGAGACGCATTGCAGAGAACCCAGTTGCCAATTAAAATGAGGTTAAATCTGAAAGACTTTGAGCATTAAGGCATCTCTAGATGGGCTATAACTCATTCCTCATTCTCAAAGACAGTACCCAAGCCCAAACTAGTTGCGGGGCGGGGAGTGCACTCAGGCCAGAATAGCTCGAAACAACTAACTCCTTCAGACTTGAGTGGAGGTGTAAGAAATATTTAATTCTGCTGCCCTTGCTTATAACTAGTTCGAAGATCATATTAAGAAAAGCAGATGAAAATGTTTTCCATACTACTCTATAAAGCATGAGTTTTCATTTAGATCAAATGAATGTTCTTTAAACTTCTCTCTCTCAATTCTAATTACAATTTATCTTCTTTACACAAAATTAAGTGACAGCTGTTATTTTGATGGCTCTATTAACAGAAGAAATTCACATTTAAATGATGCCAGCTTTCTATCAGCATCAGGAGATACATCAAATAGAAAACTCAGTTAACTGACTGAGAGAGTAATTCAACAAAACAATATGTATATAAATGTATTGTTGGGCTAATAACATACAGAAATTTTATATATTTGCAATAACAGCATAAAGGAAGCAAGTGAGAAGAAAGCTGTATTAGAGTAAGGACATAATACCAGATGGGATTTCTCAAATCCACAGAAATATGAGAATGAAAAATAGAGAGACTGATATAGCTAACTCTATAAATACATATTTGTCCTCCTTTCTTCTCTCAGCTTTTTAAAAAGACATAATATAAAATAAAAATTATAACAATATATTGTAGGACTTCTGTAATAAATAGACATAAGATGTAAAATTATAGTAGCAAAAAGTACGGAGAGAGAAAAATGGAGCTATACAGGAGAAAAATTATTTTACTGAGTATAAGTAAAAGTGAGAAATAGATTCTTCTAAGTTAAAAAGTATATTGTAAAACCTCGAACAAATACTAAGAGAATAACTTAAGATGTATAATTTAAAAATGATGATCAAAATACCACACTGGAAGATATTCACTTATTTCAAAAGAATTCACTTAATTGAAAAGAATTCAAGAGAACAAAGGCATGAGACCTATAGAAAACAAAAAGCAAAATAGCAGATGTAAATCCAACCATACCAATAATATTAATTATGAACAGATTAAACAACCCAGTCAAAAAGCAGATTATCAGATTGTATTTTTAAACATACAATGTCAGTTGACCCTTGAACAACATGGTTTGAACTGTACAAGTCCACTTAACATGTGGATTTTTTTTCAATAAATAACACTACAGTATTGTAAAAATTTTCCTTATGCTCTTCTTAACAACATCTTTTTTTCTCTAGCTTACTTTATTGGAACATATAACATACCAAATAACATACAATATATACAAAATATGTCTGCTCTGTAACTGGTAAGGCTTTTGGTCAATAGTAGGTTAAGTTCTGGGGAGACAAAAGTTTTATATGTTGGATGCCTGGGTGGCTCAGTCAGTTACACGTCCTACTCTTTTTTTTTTTTTTAATGTTTTATTTATTTTTGAGAGAGAGATAGAGACAGCGTGAGCAGGGGAGGGTCAGAGAGAGAGGGAGATGCAGACTCTGAAACAGGCTCCAGGCTCTGAGCTGTCAGCACAGAGCCCGACGCAGGGCTCGAACCCATGAACATGAGATCATGACCTGAGCCAAAGTCAGACGTTCAACCAACTGAGCCACCCAGGCACCCCTACATGTCCAACTCTTGATTTCAGCTCAGATCATGGTCTCATGATCAAGTCCCGCATCAGGCTCTGCACTCACAGTGTAGAGTCTGCTTGGGTTTCTCTCTCTCCCGCTCTCTCTCCCTCAAAATAAATAATAAAATAAACTTAGAACAAAGTTTTATGTGAATTTTCAACTGTGTAGGAGGTCAGCATTGCAACCTCCATGTTGTTCAAGGGTAAATTGTATATTTAATATACTGTCTACAGGAGACTTATTTTATGTTCAATGATATAAATACGTTGAAAGTAAATGGAAGAAAAAAGACATACTATGCAAAGAAGAACCATGAGAATCAGAAAAAAAAAAAACACTTTAAAATAACAATGAAAAAACTGAAGGAATAAACAATTCAAAAATGAAATTGGAAGATGTCATAATCCCCTTTCAAAATTAGATAGAACAACCAATAAGAAAATACACAAGGAAATAAAAGATTTGAAAAAAGCTACAGGTCAACTAGACCTAATAGACATCTATACAATACTCCACCCAAAAACACAAAACACAATCTTCTCAAGTGCACATGAAACATTCTCTAAGGTAGACTATATTCAAGGCCATGGACAAGACTCAATAATTTAAAGTGATTTAAATCATGCAGACTGTTTCATGACCACAATAGGATGAAATTAATAATCAGTAACAGAAGGAAATTCTAGAAGTTCACATATATATGGAAATAAAACAATGCACTGCTAAATAACCAATAAGTCAAAGAAATCATAAGGGAATTCGAAAATTCCCTGACATGAATGAAAACAAAAACACAACATGCCAAAACTTATGGGATAGAGCTAAAGAAAGCAGTGCTTAAAGTAAAATTTATAGTTGTAAATGCTTATGTTAAAAAAGATCTCGGGGCGCCTGGGTGGCTTAGTCAGTTAAGCGTCTGACTTTCGCTTAGGTCATGATCTCGCGGTTCGTGGGTTCGAGCCCCGCATCGGGCTCTGTGCTGACTGCCAACTCGGAGCCTGGAGCCTATTTCAGAGTCTGTATCTCCCTCTCTCTCTGACCCACCCCTGCTCACGCTGTCTCTCTCTCTCTCTCTCTCTCTCTCTCCTAGAAATTAAAAAAAAAAAAAAAGGCTACCTGCATACTGTATGATTCCATTTACTGACATTAAAAAAATAAGATCAACGGTAACTTGGCGCAGGGAGTAAAGACAGGGATTGGCTTGCAAGGAAGCAGAAGAGAACTTTCAGGGNCTCCCTCTCTCTCTGACCCTCCCCTGCTCACACTGTCTCTCTCTCTCTCCTAGAAATAAATAAAACATAAAAAAAAATTAAAAAAAAAAAAAAGATCTCAAATGAATAACCAAAACTTCCATCTTAAGAACTGAGAAAAGAGGAGCACACATAAAAGCAAGCAGAAATAAGAGAATAATAAAGACTGAAGTGCAAAAAAAATGAAATAAAGAATAAAAAAGCAAAAAAGAAAATCAATGCAAACAAAAGTTGGTTCTTTGAAAAGATCAACAAAATTGAAAACTCTTTAGCTAGAGTAACCAAGAAAAGATAAAGGTACACACAAATTACCAGAATCAGGAATGAACAAAAGAACATTACTATTAGCCTTCCAGAAATAAAAGTTATTATAAAGGAATACTATGAACAACTATACATCAACCAATTGAGTACTCACATGAAAAGAACAAATTCTTAAAAAACATAAAACTACTACAATTGATGGAAGAAAACATTCAAATTCTGAATAGGTCCATAACAAATAAAGAGATTGAGTTAGTAATTAAAACACTTCCAACAAGTATATGTACAGACCCAGAAGGCTTCACTGGTAATTCTACCAAACGTTTAAATGAGAATACCAATCTTCAAAGAAGTCTTCCAAAATAAACAAACCAAACATATACATAAGGAGAGAACACATCTACAAGGCCAGTACTACTTTCATACCAAAAGTAGACAAAGATATTAAAAGCCATAGACCAACAATCTTTATGGATATAGATGCAAAACCCTCAACAAAATAGTAGCAAAGCAAATCCAGCAACGTAAAAAGTATTAAAACCACAACCAAGTAAGATTTACCCTAGGAATGCTCAATACATGTCCACACACATACACACACACACACACACACACACACACACACAAAAGGTTGGCTCAATACAAATCCACACACACACAAAAATAATTATTATATTAACTAAATTAACTAACACTATATTACAAAACTTTTTTAAAACTACATGATCATATCAATAAATACAGAAAAAGCATTTGCCAAAATCCAACACTGTCTTATAAAAAGTGTTCAACAAACTAGGAATAGAAAGGAACTTCCTCAACCAGACAAAAGACGTCTACAAAAACTCACAGCCAACATCACACTTAATAAAATGAAAGACTGAATGTGTCCCTCCTAAAGTTAGAAAAAAGAGAACTGTGTCCTATTTCTTACCATTTCTACCTAACATTTCACTGCAAGTTCTAACCAATACAATTAGGCAAGAAAACAAATAAACAAACAAAAAGCATCAAGACTGGAAAGGAGTTAAGTATAACTATCTCTATTCACAGATGACATAATTTTGTATACAGAAAATTCTAAGGAATCTACTTTAAAAAAAGAATTTTAGAATAACTATGCTCAATAA